ATCGCATCGCGATTTTCAAGAATCGCGTTGCGATTTTGGAAACTGATTTGCGATTCTGGAAACTGATTTGCGATTCTGGGGATCGCGTTGCGATTTTTATTTCGCGTTGCGATTTTGTTGGTCATTTTGGCAAATCCAAAAAAAGTTGGTTAAAATCGTATATTATAACTTTTTTTTTGTCACTGAGGCGATTTTCTCAAAGTTTAAATGAGGTTCAATTCAACATTTTTTGTAAGGATTTGATTTGAATCCGTAACTCAGTCGGTTGGGGTCTTACTGAATTACTGAAAATGTCTGGTGAACCCAGTCTTAATGTATGGAACTGGGCATCGACAATTAATAGTTACAGCCCTTACAAGATGAGTGGGTTTGTATCTCCAATCCAAGTCTATTCACAATTCTCCCTCTGCCCCTAGACCCCTATTCTAAGAGCATAAAATCCCCAATGAAAGAGCAAATGAAATTTGGACAAAAAAATGGAAAGTTAAGGGTAATCAAAGTTCATTTACTTCTAAGGAGCCAGATTAAAGCTGTCAAAATGAGCTCATTCGAATGACAGCATATGTAGATGATTAAAGTCAGCCCTAATCTATCATACATGTATTAGATTCTAAATGCAAACATCTATCACGACTGAAACTTTCAACTTCCACACAATGCAGGGAGCACAAAATCCCCCCCCATGAATCACAATTTCTTGTTGCACGTTGACATGTAATCGTTCTTTACACAACTTCAAACCCTGAGGATACAGCAATATTTAGAATATCAGAAAATTAACGGAGTCCTCGACTTATCATGACAATTGAGAATTCCACATCTCTTAATTCAGACAAAAATATCACATATGCTTATCGTTCTATGGCAATGGAAAATTTTCCAGCAAGAAATTCAATTTTCTCATAACAACAAAACTATGTACCCAAAACATGAACCTGGATTATCGTAGAGCAGATTCTAGTGGATTCCATATCACCAAAGACTGAAAGCATGATAAGCCAAGTATTGACAAAGTGACCATCATGGCAAGTATATCCTAATTAAGATCAGGACGAAATCTGGCGGCAAAAGATCCAAGTCAAAGCTCACAAAATGCCAAAGAGTAAGAAAGAGAAAAAAAGGTGCATATTAACATCGTCTCTTTGTTATGACGTATCAAACAAATTGCTAAGAAATAGTGACATGTCAAATATACAATTGCAACTTAATTTTACCATCTCACCACTAACATAAGCTACCTCACATTTACTTTGGTTGTAACTTGATTTTACTATCTAGAAACCTAACTATACCTTCAAATAAGATTTGATCGCAAGATGCACTACTACCTCTATAAAAATATTAGCTGACCCTTTTTTCCATATGTAATGGGGTAAGGGGAGGTATGATAGTAGGCTGCCCCCAATGCCAAGTTGAGAGCAACAACTTCCGTGGAGACCTCCGAATTATGGAATGCCCTCCGTGGGACTCGATCTCACGACCACAAGGTTAAGAGCCTTGTGCTCTACCAATTGAGTTGGACGGGCATTTCACTACTACCTCTATGACTTACCAAAATAAGCAAGGCTTTAGGATCAAACACAACTCTGTTTTCTATTGCCTAAACATCTACTCCCTTTCACACAAGTTCTCTACAGGTTATCCTCAGGAACTGGGGTGTGGTGACTAGTAATGAAGCCCAGCCTGATCATCTTATAGGTTGAACCAAAAGCCAGAAGCAACCAACTTCTGAGCTCTTTAAATTTGTCATCCCTCTAAAGAAAACCAAAACAAAATCATCATAACTCCTAACTAGAAGCAACATTAATCTCCAAAATCAGGAAAAGAGATTACTGACCAAACAAAGGGAAAATCAGTCAAAATAAGCTAATGATACAAGTTTTTTTAAGTTTTTTAAGTTAAAACAAAGGAAGAACTCAAGTGCTATGAATCTTTCTTATTTTGATAAGTTTCTACTCTCCATAGAAACACTATTATACCAAGAATCAAGATAAATGATAAAGCAATAATTAACAAATAAAAGCAGGAGAGACAAATGATCAGCAACATCAAATGGTCTATAATAACAAAAGCATTTCGATATGCCAAAATAAATCTACGCAAGTACACACCAAGAAACCTATTCGCTGATATTCTGCATGGAATTTTCATTGTCTTCGTACTCATCGTCAGTCTCGTCCTCATCGTCATCATCCTCTTCCTTCAGCTTTGCAATTTCTGCTTGTGCCCTCTCCAAAATCTGCTTCTTTTGTACCTCCAACTCCTGATGAAAATCCGTTCTCATCTTCTCCAATTCATTCATATGCTCCCTCTTACTACTCTCAATCTTCTCATATATCTTACCAAACCTCAGCACCGAATCAGCCAAAATCCTCATTGAATGCTCATCGTGTACTTCAGCTTTCACCCTTGACTCTCCATCAGCCTCTTCTCCATCCTCCTCCTCCTCATTCTCTGAGTCAGTGGGACTATCCCTCATCTCATCAAAACCATTGGACCTATCCAAATAAACCTGCGGATTCATAAACACAAACTCCCCGGAATCCACTCCACAAGCCAACCATGATTCTTGTTGCTTAAACGAAGAACCCAACCCCATTAACATCTCCATTTTCCTAAAAAACACCCATTTACTCGAATTCAACCCTATTCTCTCGGCTATCAACTTCTTTTTCTTAAACTTCCTCTTCAACCCATCGATCATACGCCTACACTGGGCTTCATTTTTCACACTCTTCAAAGCATCACTAACTTTCTCAGCTACATCAACCCAATCTTCACCCCTCAAACTCCTCCTCCCCAATTGCAAAAACCTATTCCCCCAAACTTCTAACAAAACATAAATCTCTTGCTGCGACCAATCATAAGCAGTTTTGAAGCTATCTCTATGGTCGGGTGTGCACTGGAAGCTAGGGACTGAAGTTCTCAGCTTTTGCCGCTTTGGGTACCTTTCAAAACGCTCCCTTTCTTTAACACGACGGCAATAAACATCTGGGTCATCGTCGTCATCGTCATCTAAGTTGTTGTTTTCTTGTTCCAGTTCTTCTTCATCATCGAGCTCTTCGTCTGGTCCGTAACTGTATACATGGCGAGTTCTGGTCGAACGAGGATATTGAGGATGGCTATTAAAAGAATAAGGTTCAAGACCATCCATCGCCCCTTTTATGGTTTCCTTTTTTCCCCTTATGTTTCGGTTTTGGGAAGATAGTGATTGGTTTGGTTCGGTAAAGAAATAAAAGTAATGTACTTCGTGGGAAGAACAAAACCCTCAATTGAAAATTCTAGGGTTCGGAATCGTTCGAGAATCGAGATTGAGGACGATGGTCGACTGGAGGAGTGTAAAGCAACTCGAATTCGGGCATTTCGGATCTTTGAGTTTGGGCCTTACATGGGTTTAAATAGTTAAGCCCCCAGATGATTCATCGGTCTATCTGTTTCGGTTTCATGTCCTCACAAAACATATATTATTATCTACTTCATTAATAAAATATAAAATAAATATATCTCAGTTGCTCCTTACTTGGGTTTTTACGTAGAAAATTTCTTTTAAAAAATTTATCTATTAAAATTAAACTTGAAATACAGATTTATCTAAATTAATTAAAATAAAATTTTAAAATAAAAAAAAACAATATTAAATTTTATATCATTTCATTATTTAAACTTCGATAGCCGTAATCTTTGACTAACTATAAATTCTATATTTTTCAGTAGAAAATTTATTCTCTCCTCTCAATATTTTATTCGAGAAAATAATTTGAGTAACCGAAAATATCTTATAATATACGATTTTAACCAATTGTTTTTGGATTTACAAAAATAACCAACGAATTCGCAATTCAATTTCGAATTCGCAACACGGAAGTCAATTTCGCAACACAGTTTTCGAATTCGCAACTCGAATTTGGAATTCGCAACACAGAAGTCAAATTTACAACTCAAATTTGACAATTTCGTAACACGAATGTCTTTTTCGTAAGTCGATTTTTAAATTCGCAGCACGAGTTTCGTTTTCGAAACTCGATTTTCTAATTCGCAACGCAAGTTTCAATTTCGCAACACGAATTTTATTTTCGCAACTCGATTTTCGTATTCGCAACGTTAATTTAAATTTCGCAACACATATATAAACTACCCTAAATCGCAACTCATAACCTAAACCCCTAAAACGCAACTCAGTCTATCTCCATCTCTCACAAATGAAAAATCAACCACCGAGGTTTAGTTTTCTTAATCGTGTATTTAATTGAAATTTTTATATTATTATTAGAAATGAATCGAAATTGATATCATAACTGTTGGAAATTATGCCCTTATATCGCCCAGACATTAAAAATTGGTGCCCATACTGGTTTTTAGTGCATATCTTTCTCGACTTTTTTATTCCTCTCCCCCCCCCCCCCTTACTTTCTTATTTTCCCAATTAAAGTGGTCACTGAATTTTGATACTGAAGCCTTCTCTTATGTGGCATAAGTTAGTTGTGGTTGATGATGTATTCAAATCTTGTATTTAATTGATAAACTCTAATTGTAGTTGATATGCTACTGTTTTAATTGGTGTCAAGTTTGTTTTCTATCGATGTTATTAAGAGTGCAGGGAAATTTGATAATAGCAAAACACTAGTGTGGGCAAGTATATGTCATATGTTCTTTTGCTGTTGATTGAAGTAGATATGTTGAACTGACTTAAGTTTGGATTTTGGGGCTTGTGATCAGCCATTGATCTTTTCACTTCAAATTTCCATTTGCTTACATTTCTTTCTGTTCATTAAAGATAGTGGCAATGTTTTGTTCAGATCAATTCATTTCGTTTCATGTCTTTGACTGTGTTAGGTCTAAGTGCTTCAGCGTATGTTTGTTGGTGCTTTAAGTAAAGCTAAGACTGGAATTTAAATAAGTTGAATCAAGAAGAAAGTCACTGGACTTTAAAGAAATTGAATTGAGAAGAAAGTTACTCTAATTTTCCAGATTTGTGTATATTATTCTATCGTGTCTAACTTATGGAGGCTGGAACTCGTGCTTCTATTTTGTTTAGTATGTACATGCATGGTATGTATATTAATGCTCATAATTGCGCACAAAAGGTATATTATGGTATGTAAGTGGGGTTATTATTGTGTATAATTTGTAGTTTTTGGTATATTATTAGTATATCTAACTTAGTATTTTTATTGTCTTTGTTAGGAATTTTTTTCGGCTGCATTGATTTTAAGGAATAAATTAAGCCTAGCCACTACAATTGCATCGACACTTACACCTGTCCAAAGAAATTTGTTTGAAAATACTTGTTTCGGGCCATGGCTAAAAGTACAACATCCAAATGGAGATGCTTTGTTGACTCATTTGTTTCTACAGACCATGACTAACGATCTACCCGAGGGGGATACCACGTGGCGATGAGAAGATATGGTTTCATTTTCCACCGGCGTATACTTGTTTTGGGCGGGAGGAGTTTTGCTTGGTCACTGGTCTACGTTTCGGACGACACGATGAATTAGGTCCGTACACTAGTCATATCGCCACCCCATCATGGTTATTTCGGGTTTTCCCTGACCTGGAAAAGGTGATGGCCACTTTACACGTTGACGATTTGAGCATATTACTTCTTAAAGATAGTTTTACTCGGATTGATGACCTTGATGTTGTCCGAGTATGCCTTTTGTTACTTTTATATGCCAACTTTTTAGCAAAACAGGGCAGACAACTTATTTGTAAGGATTTAGTTTTATTGGTAGATGACCTAGATGCATGGAACGTGTTTTCGTGGGGTTCATATATATGGAAAGCTACTTGGAAAAAATTGTCGTCTGCCTTTGAGGACCATCCTAGTTTGCATGGGCATGGTTCCAAATACACTTTGCTAGGCTTTATTTGGGCCTTTAAGGTAAGAAATATATAATGTTTCCAAAATTAATGTTTGTGTATTATATTGTAGATTTGGATATTTGAGGCATTTCCCAGCATGCGTACTTATGTCATCAAGAATTCAAATGATATTCCTAGGACTAATACTTGGAAGAGGATCTGGTAGTTGGATTGGGATGAGATACTAACATATATGACGATCGATGATGTAAGTAAATACAAATACTTATTTAAATTGGTGGTTATTGGGTGTACACACACACACACATATATATATATATATATAATTTATTACTAGTAGACGTTTGACTTTATTTAGGCCTTTATATTGTTAGGAGGCAAACTATCTATTACAGACATTGATACCCACAGAGGCTGAGGTTGCCACTGATTGGTGGCAAGCTAGTATGTGTTTTTTTTTATGGGACGGATGATGAGCACCCCTACTTTTTCATCGAGTCGATCTCCACTTCGACACCGAGATCCATCACCTCATCGAGTCGATTCTCCACTTCGACACCGAGATCCATCACCTCATCGAGCTGATTCTACACCTCGACACTGAGATCCATCACCTCTAGCCGACTCTACACCTCGACACCGAAATCCATCACTTATTCCATCACATCATCGAGCCTATTCTCCACCATCACCTCATGTTAGGAGACCGACAAAGATGCCACGATATTTATCTCCCTGTTCTCCACCTCCACGGGATGAGTTAAGTGCTTTACGTTATGAGGTAGGTGCTTTACGTGATGAGGTCGGTGCTTTACGTGATGAGGTATGTGCTTTACGTGGTGAGGTAACTGCTTTACGTGATGACAATGGTTCTTTACGTGATGATGTAGGTGCTTTACGTGATGACAATAGTGCTTTACGTGATGACAATAGTGCTTTACGTGATGAGGTAGGTGCTCTACGTGAGATTGTTTCATCGTTGAAGAATGAGGTACGTATTCTACGCGAGGAGGTAAGTTTGTTTAATTTTATAAGAAATATTATACTAAAAATGCAATAAATATAACCTTTTTCGACATTATTTATTTATTTACTGATTTATGTATTAATTTATTTTTAGAGGCCCGATGATATGTTACATGATGACCACTATAATTCTGAGCCAGACCAGCCATCTGGCTTCAGATATATGGATACAATTTTTGTTGCACGATGAGGTTCACGCATCAGACGTCGTTGACCTTCTATTACGTCTCCTTTCACCCCAATAGTTCCAAGACTGCGTAAGAAAAAGCCTGATCCACCTACCATTATTCAGGGTCCACCTCCCATTCTTCAGGATTCATCTCTCATCGTTCAAGAGGCCCCTCCCATCGTTCAGGATCCACCTCTCATCATTCAGGATCCACCCCACATCGTTCAAAATCCACATTCCATACTATGTAGATATATTGGTAAACCCCCTCTTGTGCCCGGTATACTGGATCCGATATGGCTTTCGTATCGGTTACCGGCTAGTACCATTCCTCAGTACGAGATATGCACACTATCGGACACAGTTAAGGATAATATTGTTTGGGCTAAGACCGCAGTTGATTTTTATCTACATGAGCAGAGCAAGGGGTGCTTCACCGACATATGCAAAATCGACCATACACATTTGTTTCTTGAGCGGTCTTGGTGGGGTGTTTTATTAGGGATTGAAGATAATGGCTATTTCGAATGGGGGTAAATATTATATTCTTTTTATATTGATTTTGAGTATTTTTTTAATTTATTAAATTCACTAATATATGTATTTTTTTTATAAAACAACATATTGATGCATGGGTAACACGACTTTTGATTTTAAAGAAATTGAAGAAACTCAAAGAGACGCGATGGACCATTATGCTTTCGTCTTTTCACTCCACTCACTTGCAGGATCAGAGAGACGCTTCATATGCGTTAGGTAATGGCAAAGCCATCCTTTATCCTAAGTGGTGGGAGGTCGATAATGTTAGTATTTATTTTTGCATATATAAAGGTGCTCATCAAATTTATTTGATGTGTGCAGTTGAAGTATTATTTATTTAATATTGTAGGTGTTTATCTCTGTTATGGAACGTCATCATTGTTTTCTCGTCGAGCTTCAGCTCCCATCACTGAAGACGATAGTATATGACAGCTGTTTGAATTACATACCATTGTCTGCTTTGAAAGATATTATTTGTAGGGGATGTACCGATCTTTTGTCTAAATACTTGGATGCGATTGCTTATTGGATTAATTCAGGAAACGAGAAGCCGAATAAGTTAAATGTTACAATGATGAGAGACGAGACAGTGCCACAACAAGCGTCAATAGCCAGAGGGGATTGTGGTCCGTTTATATGCATGTGCTTGGAACGTGTGACGAGAGGAGGCAAACAGTTTCTACCTCCGAGAGATAGAGATAGAGTGCAGTAGGGTTTTGGTTTCGGTATTTTATGGCTAGAGAGATATATGCGAGACGTTGCCTACCTGTATCTAGTGTCTGATCAATAGATTGCATCTGTGTTTCTATATTGCTTAGCATCCATGCATCACTTACTATGAGAATTCAACTTCCTATTGAAGCAGAGGTAAAAATCTAATTGTAACCATCATATGATTGTTCATCTTAAATATGATTATTTCAGCATAACCAATCTTTTTAAAATTCTACATCACTTTACCCGATTTATTTCAGCATCCACGCATCAGTTACAATATTTTGCCTGTTCCATATGCCGGCCAGACCCATTGTCATAGTTCTTACACTCCTGATGACTTGCCCAAGATCGTTGTTATGACTCTAAGTCAGGGGTCTGTTGTCAAGAGCATGGATTTTCATCCAGTGCAACAAATTCTACTTCTTGGTGAGCCAACCCACTGGCATATAATCAGACTTCATTTCCTCTGAATTGAGTAGGTTTTCATATTCTGGTTTTAACTACTCTTTCATGTTGTGTTCTAATTGTGTTCTCTGTATTTTGTTTTATAAATTCAGTAGGAACAAGCATTGGCGATATCATGATGTGGGAAGTAGGTAGTGGTGAAAGGATAGCTCATAAAACATTTAAGGTTTGGGACCTTTCAACATGTTCAATGCCTCTGCAGGTATTGCTTTGTTTCACTGCTAACTAGATTTATTGAACATGAAGATGTTGTTATTCAGTGCGTGTTAAAGTTGAATTAATGTTAACCTTCTTATTCTCACATGAATCTTTGGCAAATGATCATTCAGTCTCAGTCAACCGTGTGGTTTGGAGCCCTGATGGAGCTCTTTCTGGTAATTCTTGTAGCTATAGTAATTGGACTTATGATTGGTTATTTATCTAATCTGAACACTAGATTTGAATTTTTCTTCTGTTTTCAGGCGTTGCATACTCCAAGCATATTGTGCACGTATACTCCTACCTATATTTGTGTGATTGGTCAATTCAATTAGGTTCATCTAGTATTAAGCTGATTTTTTGCCTTGCTTTTTACCTAACTATATTCACTAAATTATTTTGTATTTTAGATTGAGGCTCATGTTGGAAGTGTTAATGATCTTGCATTTTCCTACCCAAACAAACAATTGTGTGTTGTCACTTGTGGCGAGGACAGGGTTATTAAGGTTGCTTGTCTTCTCTCTCTCTCTCTTTTTTTTTTATTTTATTTTTCTGTTTGATATCGCTTTCCAACAGTTTCATGCCTTGTAGGCTTGGGACACGGTCTCTGGGGCTAAACTGCATACTTTTGAGGGTCATGAAGCACCTGTCTATTCTATATGCCCTCATCACAAGGAAAATATTCAGGTAATAAACAATAACATATCGACATATACTCGTATGTTCCTTTGTGTAGATTTCTTTTCCTTTCAACAGTCGGGGAAAAGTAGAACTATTTTCCTTAGCTTATGGAAAGAACCAATTATTTGTTTAGGAAACCAAGTTCGAAAGTTTTAACCAGTTTATTCACAGAATCTTAATAAATTGAATGCATAGAATTAAATAATTATGCATTTAATGCCAAACCAAAACCATTGGACATCTGAATCATGTTTACTCCAATTCTGCTTTTAGTTTTTCCTTGATTTCTTGTTTTGGAGTTGATTGTCTTAAAAGGTTCTGGAACTTTCTACGTGACAAATTTTCTTGCTTGAGTTCTATCATGAAAACTGCTGTTTATGTTGGTAAATGCAGTAGTTTTACCTTCAATGACTACTTCTTTGTGCATAAGTCATATTCAAATAAATGGCAGTGTTAATATAATTTGAGAGAAATATTCTCTGGAGATTAATATAGGACATGACAAGAAGATTTTAGATATTGGGATATTGAGCTAGTGTGGAACAATCTGTTTAGGACTTGGTGCAATATTTCTAGCATCTATAGAACCTCGAACTCTATATATATTTTGAATCATTGGTATCTTGCAAGTTGCATGTTTATTTTACTGTTATGCTTAAAGACTTCCATTTTCATTTGTTTTTTCAGTTCATTTTCTCAACAGCAACGGATGGGAAAATAAAGGCATGGTTGTATGATAATATGGGTTCAAGAGTTGACTATAATGCACCTGGTCAGTCATCCACAACAATGGCATACAGTGCTGATGGAACGAGGTCCATATGCCTTATTTGTATTCTATAAGTCTGGCCCTTCTTTTGGGGTTCTTTTCCTATCTTTCTGTTCATTAACATTGCAATCTTTTAATTTATATTGACCACTTTTAGGTTGTTCTCATGTGGGACTAACAAAGAAGGGGAATCATTCTTGGTGGAATGGAATGAAAGTGAAGGATCTGTCTAGCGGACATATTTTGGTCTTGGAAAGCGATCTGTGGGAGTTGTTCAATTTGATACGACAAAGAATAGGTTCTTGGCTGCTGGTGATAAGTTCACTGTCAAATTCTGGGACATGGACAATCTTAATCTATTAACAAGTACACCAGCTGATGGTGGATTACCGGTACATAAGCTTATGCCTTATTTCATGTTAGGCTGTTTGATGCTTGCTATCCCAACTAACTTTTTTCGTTTATAACCAAATGCATCCTTCCCCTTGCATTAGATTTAACAAGGAAGGAACATTGCTAGCTGTTTCAACTGATGATAATGGAGTTAAAATCTTAGCAAATTCAGATGGGGTTAGGTTGCAACGGACAGTGGAGAATCATTCGCTTGATGCTTCTAGAGTTGCTACTGCTGCTATAGTAAAGGTAAACATACACTTACATACAACTATACTGTCATTTATATATATATATATATATATATATATATTCTATATTAGTATGTTTCCTAAGTGCTTGATTTTGTAGCAGGCACCTAATATTGGTCCATTTGGCTCTAACAACACAACTATTGTAACAACCATGGGTGATCGGGCTGCACCAGTAGCTGCGATAGTTGGAACTGTTCGGATTATCTATGGCTGTGATTATGCTCTGTGGTAGACAAATATAGTGCTTTTCAGGTTATGTTAAGATATCAATAGAAGTATTAGCGGTTCGGATTATCTATGGCTGTGATTATGCTCTGTGTAGAGTATGATAATCAACTGGTTAATGGAGAGATTTAAAGTTTTGAAATTTGGAATACATAAAACATGCCAAAGAAGGTAAATATGCCGTGTTCTATGATGCACATATTGTTTTAGATGTTTATATCATCTTTTGCAGCAAATTCTAAACTTTTTCGCAACTCAATTTCGCAACTCGAAAATCGAATTCGCAATTCGAAACACAAATTCGCAACACGAAAATCGCAGCTCGAAAATGAAATTTGTAACACGAAAATGAAAATCGCAACTCGAAAATGAAATTCGAGTTGTGAATTTCATTTTCGAGTTCGTGTTGCATATTCGATTTTTGAGTTGCGAATTTGTTAGGAATACAACTTAATAATGCATGCCTAACTGAAAAAATGTATGCATCCACACATAAAATACACATAAAGCTGTTTTTTTAATGTTAAGATAATTATAACTTTAGAGGTGTTGCTTGCTGAATACTAAGAAGGATCTTTTAGCAGATTATGATGATCATGAATCAAGGAATGGAATCTCACCCGAACAGTAGTGTTTTCTGTTATTTCTATTGCAGTATCACCAGCATTGGTAAAACGATTAACCTAACATGTTACAAAAACTGTAAAAATGAGAAAGTTGCTATAAGCTGAAATGATACAGACAAAAAACATGGCCTTCATTCATCCGGACTAAGTTTTATATCATCAAGTAATGCCAACAATTGGCTTGCATTCTGGTGGAATTCAAGTGATATTGTTGTCTTTAGCCTTCACATCATTATGAATAAGGTCAGTAGCCAAGAGCCCAAGACAAACTTTAAAATAGTTTTCTGTCAGAGGTTCTAGTTTATCACCAAAGCACATAGATGATGGAGCTAGAGTGCAGCAAAAGAACTAGGATCATATTAGTGCTATTAATTTAGTAATATAAGCTTATTTTATACAAAGTTATCATTGTCATGTTCTTGTTTACTCTATTAGTACTAATATAATAAGTGTTATGCAATCATGAATACATAATACAACGTTTGCATCTAAAAATCACCTAAGTTAATAGTCTCAAAAGGTGAAGGCCATTGTGATTGGGATTTTGATTTTGATTACGATTTTTATTTCCCTTTATTTGGCACCATATGAGCTTTGGATTTTGATGAAGATCCATATTTTGGTGGAGGAAAAGATGATTGTGATGGCGCTGGTGATCCACAGGTCAACCTTGTATGACCACTTTCCTTGCAACGACTACATGTCGATATCTTCTTCTCTTCACCCTTAGACAGTTTACGATCGTGATGTTTTGGTCGGCCAGGTAGTCTTATGTCCATGACTGGTGTAAAAACTGTTTGTAAGTCATCTGGTATGTCCCACTCAGAAGGATGTGGAATAGGGTAGATAATCTCGGCGTAAGTCTGTCGATATACTTCTATAGTGTAGCAATCCATAGAGTATGCGCTTGAATCATCTTGGTTTAGATGAAGATAAACTTTTATAACATGGCCACACGGTTAACCAGATATTTTCCATTTCATACAACTACACGTCTTTGCATTTAGATCGACAAGTCCATTTAAGTTATTATCCAAGACTTCAAACAAAGTGTTTGAACATGGTTCAACTCTCCATGACGTTGACTTCACAACACGTTTCATTATCTTTTTTTCAGTCCATGGTGTAACACAACATTCCGATGTTTATGTAACTTTAAATAAATAATACTTAGTAAAATCTATTAAATATGATAAGTTACAAATTTAAAGAAATAATACATGCATAGTTTCTTTTCTTATAGCACCACTGTTGAATAGAGGCTCGAAAAAACTCCATTAACATAGTAATGGGTAATTTTCGGGAATGACGACTTAGAGCGTTGATTGATTTTGCACTATTAGAAAGTCATGAAACCATATCTTGCTTTAAGTTGATGTACTCTTGACCATCTTTCAAACCCGACATCTTCTAGTGTTTGAGCACATTGAGGCAGAACACGTCTTAAACAATTTATATGTTTACTAAAATCCACTTCCCGATAAGCTTTTACAACATTCCAGTATGTCCATTTGTGATTTTTTACACCGGCAGACCTTGATTTTAGATTTTTGTACAAATGAACACCACAAAGTCCATGAAAAGCATATGAGAAACACCTTCTAATAGCGTTATCAATTGAGTTTTCCCTATCAGATATGATTCGCAGATTGCTAATAAGACCTATACAATCCCTAAGATGTCCCATAAACCATGTCCATGAATAAGAGGTTTCAGATTTGCCAACCCCGTAAGCTATTGACTGTATCCCATTGTTAGCATCCATGGCTACTACTAATAAGTTTGTTCCAAGGTATCGACCTTTCAAATGTGCTCTGTCAACTATAATAACTGGGCGCATGCAAGTAACAAACGAACGAATCTACAAAATAATATACACAAAAAATATAATCATTTAAATGTAAAATGCATGTAACTAACAAAAATGAGTAACAAAATTATATTGATTTACTAACCTCAACACTAATGGCAATAAACAGCAACTCAAAATGTCCATCTTTATCTGTTTTGATATGAGTTACCGACCTAGGATTTTTCAGCTTTAAATTGTGACAATAAGCTGGCAGTTGGGCAAACGATGCTTCTGGCGACCCCCTCAACAATTCCAAGGCATAACATTTGGCTCTCCAAGCTTGATAATATGAGATACTAATCTTGAACCGAGCATTCATGTTAGTTATAATTTCATGACCCCGATATACCCTGCCATTCAAAAACATCAACTCAGCCAGAAAACCACCCAACACCTTTTTGTTTGCCTATCTATGGTGAGGAAAAACTTGGGTTCTTGAACATGTATGTTTATCAATAAAAGTCCTAACTTGAAACATTTCACAATCTTTTATCCTCTTTGCAATCATACGCCACGTATAGGTTTTGTCAATCCTACACTTTGTTTCGAAACGATCTTTGCTTTACTTGTTAACTTTTAGTTGATAGCCATATTCCACACATTTCTTATACAAAGCTATCTTCAAGTATTACTTTGTATCAAAACAATCATCTTTCTTGATACGAATAACTTTTGTGTAACAATCAACTGCTATATTTACTAACTCTTCCTCAGCAGCGGCTGTTTAATCTTCTCCTTGACTTTTACCCCAAATCTGATCTGAATCATCATCAAAATCCAAGTATTGACCAATATCAAAATCATTATTGTAATAAACAAGGTATGTTTCTTCTTCTGTACTTTTACCCCAAATCTGATCTGAAATGTAACACCCCAATTTAGGGGCTAAATTTTAAGAAATTATAAAGTATTGGATTTAATTGGTATTTTGGAAGAAAATTGAGGATTAAATTATAAGATTTCAAAGTTGGCGGAGTGATTTAAGAATTTCAGAAAATTCAGTGGCTAAACTCATGATTTGACTATTTTTCTTTATGAGTTAATATAACCCCATTTCTCTCTGTATTTCTGCAGAAATACACTCATAATTCCTCTCCCGGTCAACAACTTTCAACTCCGATCTACTCGCCGTCTGACCTCCGATCGACGAACCGAAACCACCATCGTGTTCGTTGTCGAACGAGGAACAAAACCCCTCAAACCTTTCGTCATGAATCGTCACCGTTCGTCATTAATTTAGTCGGAAGTATAGTCGGTAATAACTCGATTTCAGTTGGTTTTTCGTCGATTCACGACGATCCGATGATCCATTTATGACACCTCCCGTACAATCGTGTTCCTTGTGTTGTTCCGAGTCCACCGGTGTTCTCCGTTTCTCCGTATTCACCGGCTCGTGGAGGGGTGAGGCCGTCAAAGTTTCTGACGTTTCGGAATCGAGCTCTTCGCCGTTCAAAATTGTGAATCGAGCTTGGTAAGTGTCTCAAAATGCCTTAAAATAATCTTTAGAAAATTTTCAAGGAATTTTCCGACACCGTATCACTATTCACGCGCCACACCGTATCACTGTTCACGCACCACACGCTCCACCCCCGAGAGTTGGCATCGTCTGGTTGTAATTAATTTCTGTTTGAGTACTATTTGTGTAAAATTTGGGTGTTAGTTTCATAAATATTTGCAGAAGGTGGCTGATTTTGTAATTAATTTCTGATAGGGTGATATTTGTGTAAAATGGTCGACTGTTGACCATTGACCTGCATTGACTGTTGACCGGCGTTGACCAAAACTTTGATCGGGCATTAAACAATCTTTGACTTTGAACGAGTATACCTATCCTAACATTTTTCGACGTTCCAAATCCGATTCCGCAATCCGTTTTTCGAAATTCATACACGAAGGCCTCGAAATATCCAGTCAAACCTGTTGACTTTGATTTTGACCGAAAATTCCAAATTTTCAAAAAGTCATAATTTATGCTTTCGACGTCCTGAATCCGAATCCGAAGTCCGTTTCGTCAAATTCAAACCTGGTAAGCTGTTTTTTCACTGATTTATCTTCCGATTCGATCCGTTTTTCAGAATTAAGCTCCTTTTTTTATGTAATTTCTGTTGATATGGATCTAAGGAAATATTGGAAGATGATTTCAAAATCAAGGGCGTTCGAATGGAATTTTTATGGTCGATCATTATGGTACATAAATCGAGGTAATACTGTACTACCTCTTTATGCTTTATGGAACATGTGAATATTGGTAAATGCATGAATGTAAATGTTTGGTCTAATATGTGTAATTAATGAAGTTCTACACTTGATTCGAATATAGTAAAAACTCGGTATCTGAATATGGCTCATATGACTATTATAAGAATTGGAGGATAGTTGGAATTAAATTTCAAGTTCTGGAATTAAGTGATAAATGAATCAACCTTGGATATGTAGATTATAATTTATCTCATTAAAGGTACTTAAAGGATAAATTATGAGAATATTTC